GAGCTGAGCAATAGGGGGGAGTGACGTTTTAAGTCACCCGATCTGCGAAATGTTCATCCACCCATGCATTGAAAACGCTTCGTTGAAAACTCTATGCACACAAACACATATATACACACTCGCTCCCTCCGTCTGTCTCCCTCTCTTTCTCCCACGCTCTCTCTCTCTCTCTCTCTCTCTCTCTCTCTCTCTCTCTCTCTCTCTCTCTCTCTCTCTCTTTCTCGCTCCCTCCCTCCCACCCTCTCACGCTCTCTTTTTCTGTCTCTCACGCTCTCCCTATATAACAGGCTTGTAACGGTCAGCCATATTGCGATGAAGAAGGCATTTGGTTTAGATAGAATGACCCCAACTGCATTAGTTTTACAACGGTGTCATCTGTATTCGTTTGAGCAACGAGTTAATTTGAAACTATACGTTTTGGTCTATCGCTGCTTGTCATCAATTACTAGCCCCCTCCTTCAGTCACTGTTTCTCCTGCGTTCAGTTGGCCCGCACACAAATGCTCGTACTCGTGGCCAGGATACAGCTGCCTTAGTATTACCTACTGTACATATTGGGTATGGACTGCGCTCAGTTTCTTTTCTGGCGGCAGGTCGGTGGAACACTCTTCCTCCAAACTGTCGTCAGGCACAATCTGCTGGTACTTTTGCTCACCTCACAAAGATTCACCTAGGGTTCCCTGTAACAAGGCCATGCCTGTTGGGACTCCCCTAGTCAAATAATAAATACTACTACTACTACTACTCTCCCAGACTCTTTCTTACTCTTCCTCCTCTTCTCTGCCTCTTTGCCTCTCTTTCTTTCTTTCTTTCTTTCTTTCTGTCCTTCTTTTCTGTCTGAGTCATTCTTTGGTCTCTGAACATGCCTCTTATAAGTCGTACATGTATAATCGAATGGATATCACTACTGTTCCACAGAACATTGACACCATCACTCTGAATACCCTGCTATACACCATGATGATCACTGAGCATGGATGCACAAACAAGATCACAGAAAAGTTTGAAATAATTCTTAACTACGCGAACAACAGCACTGTTCAAACCAGGCAACACCAATATCACGAAACATTACTTGAACAATTTCAAGGCATAGTGATAACACTACTAGTATCTTGATGGACACACAAATTCTCCTTATATGATTCCCTGACAAAACAAGGCCGGTCGAGGCAGCTCAAGCAGAGTGCTCAATGCACAAATGTGCATAGCAGTATACATATACAACGGACAGCCGCATTTCCGGCTGATGCTCGCCACTTGGCGTGAATAGGGTCCAGCGGATAATGCCGGCATTATATTCGGCATTATGAGACCATCCGAGCATCAGAGCATTATGGAGCATTAGAAAGGAACAAGACGAGCATTATGTGAGGTTTCAGCGGCATAACGAGTTGTCGGGAAATATTAGGTTTTTGGCAACAATCGGCTAAAGCCATGGGGTGCAACGCCATGTATTGTACCGGCACAAAACTTTGTGATTTGTAGACACGTAACACATTTAGCGCAAATGCTACATTTACCTGACTTCATACATGTAATGCCATTGCTACATAAAGTCTTTATGTAGCAATGTAGTCAGGTAAAATGTACAGGTGATGTAGCATGCCCAACGTTGCAACTGAGGCTGTTACACAATATCCGGAACGATGATTTACGAGGAGTTCTTTTTTAGAAATCATGGAGAGCCATGGAGGAGACTAGACGTCCGCGAAGTGAATATCAAAGAGACGAAGAAGAGTTTTCCTGTTATGCCATAGGCTCTGGCCATAGCATATCTCTAGCGATACTGAAGACAACACTCATCTATTGATAAATTTGGACCTGGATGAAGGAGCGGCTATATACAGAAAGAGCTTGTTCCAAATAACTGCCTTTGCCGAGTCCAGATAAGCAGGCTCGAAAAGAACTAGAATTTCTCATGGACGCATTACCAAGTCGATTTGAGTGCTCAGGAGCGCCTGTCTTACTTTCCTGGTGAAGCACGTACCGTTCGTCGTGAACGATTGTAATGCAAGGCCTACAGTCAAGTGCTATCAGAAAAGAAAAGTATTGTGGCCAACCATTAATATTTTGCCTACACGCAACCTCAGGAGAAGAAGACAGCGCAAGCAGAGGATGTAGAGCGGCAAAACAACTTCTGACCATGTTTTTTCAGGGTTTCCGCAAATGGGAGGGATCTCGATTTGAGATCGTCTGTCGACTGGTTTCACGTGAGCTGTTTCAGATGAAGACTGGCATTTTTCACAGAGTGGAAGCAGTGACATCTTGTCTGCAGGCAGGAACACCACTTCCCATGATATGCTTCCAGCATCCAAATGACCACCAGCAATAATGGTTTCACCTCTCACTACATGGATAAGCAAGGGAAAAGATTCGATACACCCACTATTCAGCCACAGCCCTGCATCAAAGTTGCAATGGAGAGCAACAATGGAGACTCGATCCAGTCGTATAGTGCTAAGAAGTGGTGGAGCTCATGAGAGATATTGTAGCAGCTTCAGAGCCAGATCGACTAAATGCGTCCTTTCCTGGAAGTTTGACAATGTGCAGCCTTTCTTCCATTTTTGTTCCAAACCAAGAGCATTATAGCCCTTGCTGAAGCATTATAATCAGCATTACAAGGTAGTTTTTGGATCATTATGATTAGCATTATACGTACATTTTCGGAGCATTACCCGCTGGACCCTAGGCGTGAAGCTCGGAGTAACATCTAAAACACTCCCACTTTTGTCCACAGTGACAGCAAGGGTGACGCGCTCTGCACAGACCGTGCACTGAGCAGCATCGGAGCAACAGTGGCTGCCTGTGTGCCCATATGAAATCGTAAAATCGTAAATCTATAAGGAATAATAGTCTAGTGGTGCATGGAAAGTTACATTGTGCTTCAAAGAAGTGGTTATTAGTAATTTGCCTTGAGTTTCTTTGGATCACACTTTTTTTAAATTTTCATTTTGATTTCATCGTCGAGGTTTCATCCCTTGTATCTTTGTATCTTTGGTTTTCTTCCTTCCTCCCATGTCGTATTGTTTTAATAAATCCGTTTTGAGTAAACCACACAATCATAATCATGACCTGTAACTGCTGCTACTGCGTTTTAAAAATGGAACGCTGCAAATTTGTTCTACAAATCATTATCTAATAAAGTACATTGCGCATTGATCAGCACTGTGGTATACCGATAGTTCCAGAAAATTTCTAATGACGGAATATCTGAAGCTTTCCCACTTTCGAACTCCAAAATGGCACAGTTCCCCGCACAATCATGCTAGTACACACGTATCATGATCTTGTACGGATATACAGGTAGCCCCAAAGTGTGACACCCACAAGCATCCCTGGATTGGAGTGGCTGTGTTCAGTGTTTCTACATGCACTACTTCCATTTGACTCTGCTCGACTCCACAGACTCTCTGCAGGACCGCCGGAAACAGTTTTAGAGCAGTGGTCCGTTCATAACATAATCTGTCATAGACCACCCTTTTCAGGTGATCTACGGATATCTCCCCTCGTTTGAGGGGATTATGGCTCATAATCCCCTCCAAACGAGGGGATCTCATATCCACAGGATATCCTGTGGATCCCCTCGGACGGTGGGTCGGACCCAGTCCTTCTACCAGCATAACCAAGAGAGCTTTGGGGATTTATAATCCCCTCGGAACCGTGCAATATCCTATACATACAGTTTGTGTATGATAGTGGCTACACATACATGTAACCTCCACAGCAGTAAACATGCATTGATGGCCTACAAGTTCAGTGGTCCGGTGATGACCTGACCAACCGGCGAAATGCTCTAGATCAAACACTACAGACAGGACACGCCGATGATAGTTTTCTCGAGAAAAGACATGATCATTGTGACATTTTAGTTTTTCCCAGTGAACTTGACGTGACTGATGCACACTGTGTATGTATTAGTTAGTGGGATTGATGTCAAGAAGTGATAACACTGAAGGCTATCTGCGGCTTAGCTCAGCAGCCAGCATCTCAACTTTAATTTGGTGATAGAATAATAGCGCTCATGGTTGAATTGTGAAAGTATAGCAGATACACGATTGCGTTTCCAAGGTGATTCCGTTGTGAGGTGGGCGTCAAGAATATATGATTTGCGCACGACTACAATTGAAAAGACATGATAAACAAAGCGGGTGTGAAGAAAAAGCACAATTGAAATGGTATAGCGGCATATACCGCCTATACTCTCATGTTATTCCCAATGATGCTCATTTCAGCTTGATGAAAAGGCTGATATGGACTTGGTAAGCGCATGATGCTCATTTCAGCTTGATGAAAAGGCTGATATGGACTTGGTAAGCGCCACTTGTATAGAGACAATAGTTGCTTTTCATTTTCTTATTAGAGACAATACGCAGAAGACAAGGATATTCGATAGGTATCTTCATCTTGCAGGACGGTCTCAATACTGCAGAAGTGATTTCTAAATGCATGATTGCAATGATAAAATGATTCAGTTTGCTCATCATCACATGACACACGCTAGCTCTCAAGTTCTCTCATTGCTCTCTCAAGTTCCGCACCGAAATGCCGTGATCAAAATAGTGTTGCAATAATGCATGCTTGAAGTCTCGAACGCCCGTTCAGGCAATTTGATAGGTCTATGACTAACCGCACGGGCGCTGATTGTGATATAGTGTTCTATCTCTGCGTGTTCAGGGCGAGCTCTCCAGATGCCGATGTCCAGCCACTGAGATTTGACGCTATGCATCTGTAGCGGCCCACATCGTTAATCGAAACTGAAGATATTACCAGCTCGCTGACAACTGTGAGTAGGCCGTTGCCGTCGTGTGGATTCTGCAGCTGACGATGGCGCAGTCTGAGTGGCTGCGATGACAGGTTCTGGCCGAGGAACTCCCAGTTGATCTCCAGCAGGTTACTGCCAACGGCACTGCACGTCAGCGTTACGCTGCCACCGGGCCTGGCTTTGCGGTTACGGGGCGCCTTGATGATAATGGGAGATTCCATGTTGGGCTGGCCTGCATTCGAACACACACAAGCATGAGAGAGTTACCCAACAGAGACAAGCACACGCACGACGAGCTACTGCCTGAAAAGCATGGCCAAATTCTAAGCACAACATTGGAGAAGCTCTGCAGATGATGGTTTATGAAAGACCTCTCAAATGGAGTCCAGGATAAGCTGCATACAGTATCATGCTAGTGGTGTAAGCTGAACCATATGAACACCGATGTTTAGCTGCACCATATGATCACCGATGTTTAGCTGGACCTGCAATACCAGGTATGCACGCTCTCGCATACACTTGGAGCTCTAGCTCATACTCTGGAAATGGGTTCTTGGGAGGCATAATTGCAGCCCTGGCTGTCATACTAAATCAATCACGAAGGCAACTGAGGGCAACCAAGGTGAGATCCTACGCCACTATAAGCTGTATGGATCTTACATGTGTGCACTGGTGGACTGGCAGTAACAAAGAGCAAACTCACCAACAATGGAGACCTGAACACTGATGTTCCTCTTGCCCAGCGGGTTCTCAGCCATGCACACGAAGTGACCAGCGTCAACCTGCGACGTGTGTCGTATCACCAGGGATCCGTCGGACAGATATGAGTAGCGTGGATTGCCGCCGTCGATAACGGCGCCGTCCCTCGCCCACCGGATCTGCGGCTTCGGGTAGCCGCGTATCTTGCAAGCGACGATGGATGTTTTCCCGCTGACAAGCACCCGCCTTCGGTACATCTCTCTCAGGGGACGCGGCGGAGCTGCAAGAGAACAATCACAAAAAGCGAGGAGGCGGAAATAGGAGGTTGCAGTCTCTGTGAATAGGCGCATAGTAACGTTACTGTACTCAGCAATGACAAGACCTGGACTTGCTCCAATATGTACATGTCTGCAAGCACGCGTTATCCATGCAAGCACACATGTACATGTACACCGGAACCACTCCATCTTGTATTTGGCTTGAGGGCATTCCATGTCAAACACTGCCTAGATGCTGGTACCTGCCAACTGCTGCATG